CCCCCTTGGCTCCGCCCCTGCTCTCAAACGGACCCTTCTAGTCTACCCGAAATCCTTCGTTGAACATGGTCTATTTTTGGACATGCATGAAATAACCCCAACTTTTCCATTAGCTGGGCATGCCCATAGTGGGCATCCATATCTGGTTTGAACGAATTCTGACACAGTATACAAGTTGCGTCACGTTCGGATATTATCGACTATTTTTCACCGGGTAAACTCTAGAAAATGCAAGAATTGTTGAAAACTCAAACAACTTTGCATGGTGCCTTAAATTTGTCATAGAAACCGGTGAAAAAAAATTTGGCCATTTGAAGGATGTCGAGAAAAATAATGTGCTCTCACAGGGAGCCTTCTGGCCAGCCCGAACTCCCGGTGGCTACAGTCAGAGCAGCACAGGGAGACGAGGACTCGATGGAGCTTGAGGTAGTTGGAGCCGTGCGGAGAGGCAACGACGAGAGCTTGGGAGAAACACGAGAGGCGACTTCTCTCAAGGATCCAGATCCTGCAACCGACGTTGTTGCGACGAGAGAGATTGCAACAACGGGTCAGTTGGAAAAACCTAGTGTTGCTGGCCATGAGGCACGTGGCGTGCAGAGAAGGCGGCGGACGTGGAGCTGCGGTCCTCCAGGTGGTCTATATAGTTTTTCGTTTTAAAAGGTCTGCAAATTAAGAAAAGGAAAGAAAAAGAAATAAGGAAAAATAGAAAATGAAGAATGAAAAAACCCCGAAGAAAAACGGACAAACTGAAAAAAATTAGATTGGAGACGCATGCTTTTTTATCAGCGTTATCGTTCAATAAGGAGAAGGAAACAAGTATACTTTGGCACGGCTGTTGAGCTATCCTATTGGTCTGTCCAGCACAGCACAGCACACCACCGGAGACACGAACACGCCGCACCCCACAACCGACGCCACTCGAATTCCCCGCCGCCGCCGCCGCCGCCGTCGCGGCGCCATGCTCCACCTCCGGCAGCGCGTCCTCTCTCATCTCCTCTCCGCCGCGCCGTCTCCTTCCACCTCCCCACTCCCCTCTCTCCGCCGCCTCCTCTCCGCCGCCGCTGCCCCCCGCATTTCACCGAACCCTAGCTTCGCCGTGGAGGAGTACCTCGTCTCCACCTGCGGCCTCAGCCGTGCCCACGCACTCAAGGCCTCCGCCAAGCTCTCCCACCTCAAGTCCCCCTCCAAGCCCGACGCCGTCCTCGCCTTCCTCGCCGGCCTCGGCCTCTCCGGCGCTGATGTAGCAGCCGTCGTCGCCAAGGACCCGCGGTTCCTCTGCGCCGGCGTGGAGAGAACCCTGTCCCCCGTCCTCGCCGGGCTCACCGGCCTCGGTCTATCCCCTTCTGATATTGTGCGCTTCGTCTTGCTCGTCCCCGACAGCTTCCGCCAGAGATGCGTCGTCTCCAAGCTAGAGTACTACCTGCCGCTCTTCGGCTCCATCGACAACATGGTCCGGCCGCTCAAATACGGCCCCGGCTTCCTCGACTCTGACCTCGAGAGGGTTGTCAAGCCCAAAGTCAAGCTCCTAGCAGAGTGCGGGCTAGGTGCTTGTGATATTGCCAAGCTCTTCATCCAGGCACCAATGATACTTGGCTCCAAACCAGAGCGTTTCGTGGCGATGGTCGCGTGCGCCGAAGGTATAGGTGTGCCCCGTGGCTCTGGAATGTTCAGGCAAGCGCTGTACGCCGTCTCATGCTTCAGCGAGGACAAGATCGCTGCCAAACTGGACTACTTGAAGAAGACACTTAGGTGGTCAGACGCCGAGGTTGGCATTGCTGTGTCCAAGGGTCCGTTTCTGCTGAGGAGGTCAAATGACGTGCTGCAGCGCCTGTCAGAGTTCCTGATCTGTGAGGTGGGGTTGGAACCGACATACATTGCTCATCAGCCGACTATTCTCAGTCGTAGCCTTGAGGGGCGGCTCAGCCCACGGTACTATGTTATGAGGTTTCTTAAGGAAAATGGATTGCTCAAGCATGGCCCAAGCTACTGTACAATTGTTAAATGGACCGAGAAAAAGTTCTTGGAGAACTTCATATGCCCTCACAAGGAAGCTGCACCATACCTTGCTGAAGACTATGCGGCTGCTTGCAAAGGGCAAGTGCCGGCTAGATTCAGATTTACATGAACCAAGAAGCATGAACGTGAGTGGAACTACTATTTAGTAGCCTTGGTGACTGGGAAGATTTTCATGGAAAGGTTTGTATGCCCATACAAGCAAGCTGCCCCCACCTTGCCAAAGACTATGCTGCCACTTGTAGGGGAAGTGCTTTCTAATTTGAGATTTGCATGACCAGTAACGGGCTATGAGAATTGGTAATTACGTATGTCTACGTGTAGTGAGCTGGTAATTTTCGTCTCAGTGTTCTTTGCCTAACTAGATGTTGGTTATCTGCTATAGTATGTCCGGTACATGTTAATTCAGTGTCGCCAGTCCTGGATGAAACTGATAATTTGATTTTAGGGTACTGTTGTATGTCCATTACATCATTCGGTAGAAAAGAAAGAATTGCACTTCAATTAACCTGTCCATCGTGATGTCATATTGTCATGCATACTAGAACTAAGAGAGTGTGACGTCAGGGCATTCTGCAAATGCTTTCAAATATATTAATGAAGAGTATTCTGCACACCCTATATGTTTATGTTCTCAATTGCCATTTCAGCTTTCAATGCAATCCTGAGTCAATCTATCTTTCCATGAAAAAAGGTTCTCATTTTTGTCATGAAGATGATATGAAGCCCCAAAATTCGTTAAACATCTTTTTTGGTGGGAACAAATCTGGAATTAACGTGTTAGTCATTGCTGAGGTTGCAGTTTTGATCTAGTCTGTTGGTTGCTTCCTCTAAAGCTGAAACTCGTCATTCTTCCTGCCGTAGCTTTGTTTATATGATATTAACTGTTGTGAAAGCAGGTCATTATTTACTAATAGTTCGTATCAGTTTTTTTCATTTATTTTTCTCTTATATTCTTGGATCTCGCTGATATTTTGTGTCAAAACTGAATACTTCAGTAGTTGGCTACTAAGTAGCATTTTGTTGACAGCCTACACATTTAGCACTACGTAACGGATATTTCAAAAGCCCTTGTATTTGTACCGGATACACGAATTGATGCTTGTATGGTATGGTGCCGAAAAACAGAGGGTATTTCATACACTATGAAGGAACTTATGTTAAGGTAATCTTAAAAAGGGTCATGGCATTACCATGTTATTCTCTGCCATACCTGTTGGCTAATTTTATTCCATATTAGCACTATTTATATGGATTCTCAGGAAATCTTTTTAGGGATAGTAAGGTGGATCTTATGTACCATCCTCTGTTTTATATTTTGCATTTTTAGGTACTCTTTTTGTATTTGCTTTAGTTGTGTTGGTTACAGACTCGTCTGAAGACATGTAGACTGGAATTGGAGAAAAGAGAATGAAGATGTCGAAGACTGTTACCTTAGCCAAGAGATGGTCCCAGAAATGATATCTTAACCAAGCTTGGTCTTAACATTTAAGGGAATGCAGTATTTTTTTTGTCTCAGTTATACTGAATGTCATCTCTTCCTGCACTCTTTTTAGTTAAATTCTCGGTCTAGGAATGCAAGTACTAGCTGTCAGATAGTTACTATAGTTATAGAATCTTGGAGAATTGCAAACACAGAAATTGTAGACATGCTTGTCTACCTCAAATTAAGAATCAAGATGTGTGAGGAGAGGATGGTGAACATATGTTTATTCCTGAACATATGTTAGGCTGTAGAAATTGGAATAAATGAGATCTCAGCTGTGTGCTTGCAGTAACACAAAGGAGATGGGCACATGCTATTATTAGCGAAGAGCTCTGATTTGAAATGAAGATCAGTTGTGTGTCTCTTCTCTAGTGCCTAGTTTAGCCTGTGGGAATTATAGAGATAATATTAATGCAATGAAGGCGAGGGGAAGGGGTCTATTAAGGAACGAAGTGACTTGCCAAGTGAGTATGATTCTTTTTAAGGTAGTTTCCTTGAGTAAGAATTGGCTGGGCAAGCATACTGACTGATTTACTGAATGCTGTAGATTGATGTGGCTTTCTTACTTTCTTGAGAAGAAGTGATGAAACTAGATATAGATGCTTAGTTCTTTCTTCTTCTTTCAGGAGATCGACCAAGCATGGTGGCTGGGGATTTGCTATACTACACATGATTCTGAAGGCTGTGTTAGTTGATGATGCCTGAGACTTCCTTCAGTCACAAGTATTTATTCAAGAGTTGATGATGCCTTTCTCCTTCTGAATTTTGCAAGTTGTGCAATCCTTGTGAACCTGATATTTGGATGATAATTTACTTTCACATTAGAACATTTTCTTTTTCGCTTACTCTGGGATAAAAACTTGTGCTCTAAACTTTCCTTTGTACACTGGGAGATTTCTGGTGTTATCAAATGGTCTTTGCTTTTACTCCACCTCTATGAGCACTGTTGCCGAAGAATGGGTTATTGAAAATATTTGGGCAAAGAAGCTGCTGTTCAATCGACAGTTGAATTTAGCACCAGCTGCTGCAATTTCTTATTATTTTAATAGAAAGCCGCAAATGATCGAGGCGCTATGTAGTATGTGAATTATGTGTTCTCATCTTCACCTGTACAGTTTTATTGAGTCAACCATGCATGCCATCACTTTTTTTCTGGAGTTGATAATCGAATGTAAAAAAACATATGTCTCTGTTTTCCATCCATATATATGCCATGTAAGCAATTAGATGTGGAATTTAAAGCCGCTATCTAATTGATGGTGATCTACTCAGACTAATATTTAGTTTGCCCTTTCTTTTGGTCTTACCAGAGCTTTCCTTTAACGGGAACAGTCTTAATAGAGCTTTTTATGTGTAGGAATTTTGTGCGTGGAAGCAAGCAGAGGGCCGTTATGGATGAAGTTGAGCAAGCTAACTGGTACGAATAAAGCTATGTTGTTATTCACCCTCCATTTAGCGGGGTATCCAATCTGCTTAGATTGATCTGCACTTGCACTTCCTCATGACAAGTGGACACCTCCTTTGACTAGGTATGCGCTGAAGTTTATTCCCTTTTTTCTGCGATTTCCTGGCTGTGGTGGCTGCATACCATTTTTCTGCAGTACAAGTGCGGAGTGGTAATTGATATTTAGGATGGGAACAAGTTAAATATGCACTCTTCCTAAGACTTGAGGATGATGCAGCAATATATCGTTCATAGTATTGATTCTGAGGATGCTCTGAGATCTGGCAGTACAAACGCAAGGGGCTGAAGGCACCGCTGCAGTCAGGCTGGATTATACCGCTGCAGACGCAAGCTTACATGATCGCTGGAGGAGAGACATGGTTTCAGCCATGGCGGTGGCGCGAGATTACTCGACGCTCTATTAAGACTGCGGGGGAAGATCAGTGTCGCCGTACAATCAAGTGGTCGCTAGCTGGGGAAGTTGGCAGCAGTCTGGTAGGCGAGGAAGATGAGATGATCGTGCAATGGCTGGCCTTTTTTGAACCCTATCTGAAGATGGTTAGAAACTATGTGTGAAACCTGCTCTGTTGCGTGGCGGGTTTCATCGTTTCCGTCGGAGGAACAGCTAAGACCATGTTGATTCGTTAACATTCGTGAACATCATCTGGTTGCTAGCATCTGTAAAAAGGAAGAAACGAAATTTGTACAGACATCAAGTATTCAAAGTTCAGTTTATGCAGATACCAATCAAGTATTCAAAGTACAGACACCTGTATTTGAGTTCGATGATGAGCTGCGCTTATGGGGCTTTGTAGGAGGAAACTTCTCCTTATGGAAAGATTTAATGTGCAAAATTTTAGGCCAGTGATAGGCGCCGGGGGAGGAGGAAACTTTCGGCCGGACGCCTGGCAGCTATCCGATCTGGCGACTCCAACGACCAGATCCCCTCGTGTTGAGCAAAAAAAAAAAACGTCACCGGCTTGAAGCACTGCCAGATCCGCCCGGTGAGCGGTGGCGGCGAGCACCGTCAAATCACCGACCAGATCCCCTCCAGACTCAAAGCACCGTCGGCGAGCGGTGGCGGCCATTTTGCAACAAAAAACATGTCGATGCAGCTCTAACGCTAGTCAGTTCCAGCGCGTGGATGCCATGGCTGCAGCATCTCTCGAGTCATAGGCTCTTGCTCGCCATCGTCATCTTCTAGCACCGTTGTGTTCCAGACTTCCAGTGCAAGAACTCAGCGAACAAAAAATCTCAGGAGGTCAGTTGAAGCAAAACAGAAAGGCGGTTCCAGCAGATTTTGACACTGGTTCCAGCAAACAACCATAGCAGCAATAAATCCGAAAAAATCCCCTTGTAGCATAGGAATAGCCGGTTCCAGCAAAATTTGACACTGATTCCAGCAAATAAACATAGAAGCAAAACCCCGCTGATTGTAGCAAAGTAACTAGCCGGTTCCAGCAAAAATTTATGCTGGTTCCAACAAAAACCACATCACCGGTGAGCGTGCTACAGTTCCAGCTCCAGTGGGCACGTCGTCTTGCCGGTTGCAGCAATCGCAGATCCGGTTCCAGCAAAAGTCATGGCCGGTCGTAGCAAAACAATGATGCCGATTTCCGGCAAAAACAAAGCGATTGGGGGTTGGAAGAAAACAATTCAAAAAAGATGCAACCAGCTAGTGAAAAAGCTACATCCGTCAATCCAAAAAGGGTGGGGGAGGTGGGGAGGGAGAAGGAGGATAGGCTGTCCGAGCAGTTAATTAGATTCATGGCGCGGCGGCCGGCTTGTGGCCGCAAATGGCAAGGGGCAGGGGGAGAGGAAGGTGGAAGAGGAAGTCATGTGTGGTTGGGTGTTGAAGACGACGGGGGAGATGAGGGTAAGATCGCTGAGCGGTGCTTGGTCCCACACAAGCACGTGGGGCGCAATCGACTGATCGACCTGTTGGAAACGTACGTGCGGCCACAATGAAGGTCATCACCGTGAACTGTGTGTCTTTTGCTGAATTTGGAGCTTTCTTTCCGTTGTATGTCACATTCTAGCGACGCCCTGGTCACATTCTAGCGACGCCCTGATGGCAGAAAATTCGCCCCGGTTGATGATTTTTGTCGAAGAAAACATTTTTTCTTATGAATATAGATTTTTTTACCGGTATGAATAATAGATTATTTTTAGGGCAACGATTTGCGCCGGTGCGCCGGCCCAACTGTTGGGCCGGTCGCACCGCGGCCGTTGGATCTAAGCGAGTGGGCCGTTGGATCCAGCTGAACAAGTTCGCCCTATCGTCTTCTACCTCGCACCACGGCGCCGCGCCTCCTACCGCCCCCCGCCGCTCCAAGCGTTGCGCAACCCCTCCCCTCTCCCTTCCCCCCCCTCCCCCGCCCCCGGTCGTGCTCGTCGCCGTGCTCGCCGCCGCTCGCCGTAGCCGCTCGCCGTTGTTGCTTTACCCCGTGCAACAGCCCCACCCCGCGGTTGAAGCTCTTGTTGAGACCGTTGTAGCTCCGGTTGCAACGACTGAAGCTCGCCGGCATGCTCGCCGCCGCTCATCCCCGGTGTGCATCTTGCAAACAAAAAATCGAGCACTTGGGAAGATGCCCAGTGCTACAACCAACGACCAAAAAAGCTACAACTAGCGATAGAAAAAGCTTCAACCGGCTACGGAAAAAGCTTCAACTAGTATACGACTGGAGCCATGGATGACCAAGAAAATTTACAACCGATGACAGAAAAAGCTTCATCTAGCGACGAAAAAAGCTTCATCCGACTATAAAAAAAGTTTCAACCGTGGAATCGAAGCCATGGCCGAAAAACGAAAAGTTGCAATCGACAGTTATAAAAGTTACAACCGCATTGAAAAAAGCTTCAAACCTCTTATCTCAGCTGCGACTCGGCGATGACGTTGATGCCGTTTTGCTGCAACCGTAGTAGATTTTTGCTACCACCGGTGAGTGAATTTGTTACAACCGATTCCAGCAAAATTTCGCCGCGGGGTGTAGTCTGCCATGGCTAGTTGCAGCTCCAGCGTGGCCGGGTCCGGCGAGGTAGGCAGAGCTCCGATGCATGCGGATCCGCGCAGGTCTGGTCGAGGGCAGCTAGATCGGCTAATTCTCATGACGGCGGCGCCCCTGGGAGGCCTCCGGCGTGGGCGATGGGTTGACCACGGCAACGGGGAGAGAGAAGAGAGAGATGACCGAGAGAAAGAAGAGAAAAGGCAAGAGGGAGAAGACGCACATGGGCGGGCCCCTCCAATCCTACGTGTCGCTAGGCGAGTCGCTGGCGCGTTTGCGCGTGGTCGCGACCGGCCGAAGCTTCGGCCGGTGCGCCGTTGCCGAACGATTCCCTTATTTTTAGGGGTGTGCATAATAGATGTTTTCGCGTGCTAGTAGTTATATTTGGGTTCTGAGGGACTCTTGGCAACGTGTGGATGGAAAGACGCCGTTGGATGCCGTTTGGACGGCACGGATCAACTCAGCCCAGTTCATTTGACAGTTGCTGTCCGTCCACCAAACAACAACCGGAGACACACACGCCGCACCCAACGCCACTCGTAGGAATTCCCCACCGCCCGCCGCCGCCGCCGCCGTCGCCGCCGCTGCTCCGCCGTCGCGGCGCCATGCTCCACCTCCGGCAGCGCGCCCTCTCCCATCTCCTCTCCGCCGCGCCACCTTCTTCCACCTCCATACTCCTCTCTCTCCACCGCCTCCTCTCCGCCGCCGCTGCCCCCCGCATTTCTCCCAACCCTAGGTTCGCCGTGGAGGACTACCTCGTCTCCACCTGCGGCCTCACCCCAGCGCAGGCACTCAAGGCCTCCGCCAGGCTCTCCCACCTCAAGTCCCCCGCCAAGCCCGACGCCGTCCTCGCCTTCCTCGCCGGCATCGGCCTCACCGGCGCCGATGTCGCGGCCCTCGTCGCCAGGGACCCGCGGTTCCTCTGCGCCAAAGTGGAGACAACCCTGTCCCCCGTCCTCGCCGGGTTCACCGGCCTCGGTCTATCGCCTTCTGATATCGCGCGCCTCGTCTCGCTCGCCCCGACCGAATTCCGCCATAGATGCGTCGTCTCCAAGCTAGAGTACTACCTTCCACTCTTCGGCTCCATCGACAACTTGCTCCGGCCGCTCAAATGCTGCACCGCCTTCCTCGGCTCCCACCTCGAGAGGGTGGTCAAGCCCAACGAGGCCTTCCTGCGGGAGTGCGGGCTAGGTGATCGTGATATTGCCAAGCTGCTCATCCAAACGCCTAGGATCCTCACCGCCAAACCAGGGCGCGTCCTGGCGATGGTTGCGTGCGCCGAAGGTATAGGTGTGGCCCGTGGCTCTGGAATGTTCAGGCAAGCGCTGCAAGCCATCTCATACGTCGGCGAGGACAAGATCGCTGCCAAACTGGACTACCTGAAGAAGACACTTAGGTGGTCAGATACCGAGGTTGGCATTGCCGTGTCCAAGGGTCCGTTTTTGCTGAGGAGGTCAAATGACGTGCTGCAGCGTATGTCAGACTTCCTAATCTCTGAGGTGGGCTTGCAGCCGGCCTACATTGCGCATCGCCCGGCTTTGCTCACTTACAGCCTGGAGGGCCGGCTCAGGCCCCGCTACTATGTTGTGAGATTTCTGAAGGAAAATGGATTGCTAGAGCACGGGCGGAGCTACTATACAACACTGGTTAAGACTGAGAAGGTTTTCATGGAAAAGTTCATATGCCCTCACAAGGAAGCCGCACCACACCTTGCTGAAGACTACGCGGCTGCTTGCAAAGGGGAAGTGCCGGCTAGATTCAGATTTACATGAATCATGAATGGGCTATGAGAATTGGTAAACTTTGTAAGGTGCAACAAAGTTTTCAATTTGTTGAAAGCTGGTAATTCCTGTTTCAGTGTACTTTGCCTAACTTGATGTTGGTTGTCCGCTCTGTTAGATGCTGGTATGGTCGTTGCTAACGATTGATGAAACTGATAATTTAAATCCTGATATGTTAAGGTTATCATTAACTCCCTCCGTCCTATAATACAAGATGCTATTACAACCAACGTACTCATATATTGATTGTAATAACATCTTATATTATGGGACGGAGGAAGTAGTAGAGAAGAAACCATGCCTTTGTTGAGAACTTGTTCATCATCATGCCATGCCATGTTATCTAACACTTGGAACTAAGTAAATGAGAACAGGTCATTCTACATTGTATTAAAATCTCTATTTTATTTTTTTAATGCATTCTGGGTGATGTTTGGCTTGCACCGATGGTATAAGTGTGCCCCATGACTTTGGGATGTTCAGGCACACCCTGTGCATTGTCGCATTCCTTGGCAGGAAAAAATATCGCCACCAAAATGAAATACCTGAAGAAAATGTTAAGGTTGACTGATGCCGAGGGTGAATATTCCTGTGCCTAAGGTTCTGATTTTGTTGAGGATGTCCGAGGAATCGCTTCATCGAAGGTTCGAGTTCCTCATCTCTGAGTTGGGGTTGGAACAGGCTTATGTTGGTTATCGCCCAGCAATGTTCTATTATAGCCTGGAGGGCCCTCTGAAATCCTGGTTCTGCTGTAAAGTTTCTTAACACAATTAACAAATTTAAATGCTTACTGCACCACAAAGGTTTTACTTGGCACCTTAAGCTGGCAAGCTTTGTTTTAGTGTTCTTCCCTGACAAGATGTTTGTTATCTGGTATGGTATGTCTGTCGCGTGCTAGTTAGGTGATTGCTAACACTTGATGAAGCTAGTCGTTAGATCCACGAATCCTCATATTTCCATGTCATTATAAATTTTTCTCTGAATGTCAATTCTGGACCCTCTTTTTGGGAACAATTTTGGACTAATTGATGGTCACCAGTCCGAGGATTCAGTTTTGATCCAGTTTGCTGGTTGCTTGTTCTAATTCTTGTGAGCTGAAAATCTCCGTTCTTTCTGCGGTATCTTTTTGTTAAGTGATTAAATGTTGTGAAAGTAATTCATGTTTTACTAGTCTGTATCAGATTAGTCCTTCACTTTTCTCCTGTATTTCTTAATGGCCTACTGGCTGATGCATTCAGTTCTAGTGACAAGTGATCTCAAAACTGAACAATAGAGCTGTACAATTTTTTGTTCACGGCCTACCATCAGGTTTTCACCAATCAGGCTTACATGTGTTTGAAGCTGTGTTGTTATATCATGATCTGTGCTAGCAAATGGTTGGAATCATTTACTTCTGCCTTGACTGACCTCAGGTGTTAGCCTTGTTGTTCTGGATCATTTGGAAAATGAGAAATTGTACTGCTTTTCATAGGTGGCTGTTGGAAAATGAGAAATTGTACTGGTCTTCAAGGTAGGGATGAACATTGGCGTTCAGCGCTTGGAGAATGGCTGAAGAAGAGTGGTTTGGCACTCTGTCTGCTAGCTATCAGTGAGCTTGTTGGGATGTCATTCAGTACGAGAGGAGGATGCAGACTTGATCCAGTCTGTTGGTTGCTGTGCTTCGTTGTTCTGAACATTTGGAAAATGAGAAATTTTACTGTTTTCCATAGGTGGTTTGTGGCAAGTGACGATGTTGTTTGTGGCTGGAACGGACCTTGGAGAATGGCTATAGAAGAGTGGTTTTGACTCTCTGACTGGTATCTATCAGTAAACTTGTCTGGATGTCGTCCATAGGTGAACTTGTCTGGATGTCGTTCAGACTTGATCCAGTTTGTTGGTTGATGTACTCTAGTTTTGTTCAATTTTAGTCAAAACTCAGCACCAATAGATAACTATGTAGTCAATGCTGCATTGTTTTTGTTCTCAACTGAATTACGTTTTGGTTGACATTCTCATTTTGATTTCACTGACCAAATCCACACAGGACAAAGGTATTTTGCATGTATTTATACTCTGTTACATGCAGAAGCAAACACCCAGTGTGGTATAGCAAATTAATGTCACACCATTTTCTTTGACAATATGCAAGATCAACAGGAACCATCTAGCAAAAAAAAAAAACACGTCGGCCAGCTGTAGGCTGACTGGAATTCAATCGGCCTGCTGTGGGCCGACTAGGCCCAGTCGGCCAGCAGCGGGCCGACGGTGTATTATTTTTGAAATTTTTTTATCCAGCGTAATATTTATGAAAATTAATTAAAAAAATGTATTATTTAAAAAAAATTAGCCATCGGCCATGGGCAATCCTTATTTGTGCCTAGTGTGTTTTTTATTCATCTTTAACGATAGAAAACCGCAGCGGTTTTTCTGTTTTTTTCCCCCAGTTTTCTATTCGCCGGTTTTCCTTAGTTTATTTTTCCTTCTTTTGCTATTCTCTTTCTCTTTTCATTTTCCTCTTCCTTTTTTTTAAAAAAACTGCTTACTTTTCTTGAATACGTGTACTTTCAAATTCACACACTTCCTTTGAATCTCATGAACTTTTCTTGAAACTTGTCAACTTTTTTTCTGTTTTTTTCTATATTTTTATTTTTTATAATTCCCAAACTTTTTACAAATTGATGAACTTTTTCGAATTCGAATGAACCAAAATTTATAAACTTTTTCAAATTTGATGATATTTTTTTGCATAATCGGTGAATTGTTTCAGAAGCATCCATGTGCTCAAACGCCATCCTTGTCAATGACTGTATTTTGTACGATTGCAATCAAATCAAACATTCAGCAATGCTATAGAC